CCAAGAAAACACAACTCACAAAACCAGTGACAGAGGTGGGATTTGCCCACAGGGACAATCTCCTCATTCCTGGTAGCAAATGACAAACAGACACCTGTGGTGTATAAGAAATCAGGGTAAATGTTGCCTATGCCCTGACTCCGAGACTTGCTTTGATAGGAAGAACGCTGTCCTTCTGCAGTGCCAAGTAGACATACAATCTCCAGGATGCCTCTTCAGGCCATACACCACCATCACAAGATCAACTGCTTCAACTTCAATGACACAAATCCACAGTGTGAGAGGACAATTATGTAGTGCCTTAACTTCACTAATAGATGAAAAGCTTCCTGTCAACACACTGAAGCCTAGATTCCGTTTATGCGATGTAAAAATTTAACAAAGTCTGTGCCAAATACCTATTATACATTATTAACTAAAATACTGTATACAGCTAAGCAGAGATCATTGAATAAAGAATACTTTCTTCTACACAAAGGCTGTAACTGCAAACACTAATCTTCTAGTTATGAAGTCTGTCAGTGGTCACTGCCATCCAGACTTGTCCATTTGCTGTTTTCTGAGACTTGAACACTAATAGTGTATCAAAATCCAGCATTTGGTTTTATTTTTCCACAGTGAACCTGTGATCTGGCTCTAGAAACTACGATCACAACCTTTGTTTTAGTATTGTTGCTATTGTAACTAGAAGCAACTTATTTTTAGTCAGGGTGGGGTTAACTTAACTAAGTCGTGAGTGTTTATTTTTCAATACAACTTTACAAAGAACTTCCTTCATTCTACAGCTCACCTTTTGATGAAAGTCCACATTTCAAAAATAGCTACAGGCAGCTAAACTTTCTAGTCCCATTCCACAGAGCAGAGGAAGTCACTCACCTATTGTTCAGTAAAGCCCAGGAAACCCCTCCCGCTTGCCACCTGCAGCTGTGGGGTAGCTCTTCAGCAGCCCAAGATGAGAAGCTGACTCATGGCTCAGCCTGGATACCTGCCAACCTCTAAAGTCAGAGAATAAAAAGGGAAAATGCTTATTGGATACTTTACGTATGTATGTCAGAGGTGGGGATACAGGGGTGCAAACCTCACTTCTCAGAGGTTAGAGAGGAGCCTGTCGTTTTACAGTCGGCCACTTCTCAGGTTTGCAGTACTTCTGCTAAAGGAGCTGGGATCTTTGTGAACACGTCCACCTGACTCACAGTTCATACTTTTTCTTCATTTTAATTCTCCAGTTCCTTATACTTTCTCTTCATCCTCAGTAACCTCTGGCTCACCCAGCCGTCTCTGGTCCCCAAACCTCTCTGTCTCCTACCCATTCTGTCATGGTGGGACACATCTACATCCACTCTGATTTCCAGATCTCTGATCTGGTATTTAAAATTTATCTTACAAAATCATCTCCAAACATACTTCATTTTGACTGATTATCAGCCCGTCTCCTTTCCCGTTTCCTGCTGTAAGGCTGTTATGGCCCTCGGTATTCTCCTTCCATTCTGTCCTGTTGTGTGCCCCGTACCCCACTCCTAAGCCTCTATTTCATGGACCCCATCTGCCTCCCTGGGCTCTCCTCACATCTCCTCCCACCTACATCAACACACTCAGCAGCTAGAAGCTAGAGTCCACACAAGAACTATGACACTTGTGTTTGTGCCTAATCCTTTCCAGTTCCATCCATTTTCTGGCAATTTCATTGTTCTTCACGGCTGAATAAAATTCTGTTATAATTCTTGTTTTTAAATGCTGTTAGTCAACATTGTATGTAAATTCCAACCTCACAGCCATCCCATCCCTAAATTTCTCCATCTTTAACTTCCTCATGGTGCCATTAAAACTGGAATCTCAGGCTTTCGTCATCCTCACCTTTTCTGGGGCCCTCTCTCAAGACCCTCTTTCAGTCACTTAACCTCTCCTGCTCCAAGGCATCCTTTCCTCACCCCGTCTGACAGCTTGCCTACATACTGTCACGTCTAATGACAACTCCCTTCCCTCTTCCCCTGGCTAAACACTTTTCACTCGTTCTTGATTTAATCAAGTCTACATTCCACAGCTGGAATTAAAAGGCTCCTCCTGTCCCCTTACACATAAGCTCTCATTTTATAACCCACCTGATCAGCCACATGCGATTCTTCTTTAATTACATTATTATTCACTGATCAAACTGAACTGTTTGTCTTTACAATTTATTCTGCCCTTTTGAATACATGTATTTACAATACTTCCCTTGGAATACTAGTCCTCAGCACAAGCTATGGAAATTCTATCTACTCCTAACAGACAAGTCAAATTCAACTTGCTCGAGCACAGCCTTCTCATTTCCTAGCTGCAAGTTTCTTCTCTGAATTCCCAAGACATTTGATTCTTCTATTGTATTTATTCATTTCTGTGTTATAGCATAAGTAGGTATGGACATGTCTGACACCTCTACCAATCTGAAATCCCAAGAAAAAAGACTGACTCACGTTGTACAGGTCTTCATAAACCCCAAGGCACTGAATAGTATCTAACAAGAAAACAGTTCCTAAAAATGCTGAATACTTGTGAAGCACAGAGAATGATTGAATGTAATCATCTACTTAGAATATTAATAAAACATTATATTCTGATACAACTCAGTTTGTGTTCTATGAATTATTACTACATGAATTAACGATGGACAGAAATTAGTTTTCCCTTTTAGCAATTAGGTGTCCATATTCCCACAGTTCTTATTTTATGTATGTGAGTAGTTGTGAGTATTGTCTACATGTATGTCTGTTCACCACATACACCATGGCTAGTGCCATCAGACATCAGAAGAAGGAATCAGATCCCCTGGAACTGGAGTCCAGGATGCTTATGAGCTGCCGAGTGAGTGCTGGGAATTAAAACTCAAACCCTCTGGAAAAGCAGCCAGTTGTCTTAAGCACTGAGGCATCTCTCCAGCCCTAGCCACACATTTCATACCTTTTTATTATCGCTTGTTTCTTGCTCAGAAGACTTGGAACATTTTAGCAGTAATAACTGGTAAAGAAACCTAAGTGAACTCTCATGTTTGTTGTTGTTACCAATCATTATACATTCATTTTTAATGTGTCATAGTTTTACTTGACCAAATTCAAAGACACACTATAATGTCTTTTTCTACAAAGAACATGCTTTCAAAATAATGAACAGTATGTCAACAAAGGACCTATTTAGTTTAAAACTAAAGGCAGATACTTTCTAATACTCATTTTATAATCATTTTCTGCTTTTAATGTGCTATCTATAAATGTTCTTAGAGATATACAAAAATTGAGCATGTTTCCATGATCTGTAGTTGGATTTTTAAAGTAAACTACTGATACTCAGTTTCTTTTGTTTTTAGACAGGGTCTCAATATGTAACCCAGGCTGGCCTTGAACTCCCAATCTTCCTGTCTTCATTACTTAGTATGATTACAGAAACGTGCTATTATCCCCATTTTATTAATTTGTAAACTGACTTTTCCTTCTAGAAAGTATTTAACTACCGTTGAATTCCCTAAGTAACTGAAGATGCAGAAACTTATCTTTCTAGATTTTAGGACAATACAGAGCAGAGGGAATAAAAGGTTTATTCATAAAGACATATTTATGTAACAGGGCTACAGGAATGTTCTGCTGCTCAGAGACTGAAGGGTTGTACTCTCTACTGAAAATGATGACTGCACTGCGTATGCCTACCCCTTAGTGCTATCTTGAGATTTCTAGTCCCCACTCCTGCATCCATGTAAGCTTAAGTGTGTAGGGATGTATTAGTGATGAGAATGAATGAGAAGAGACAAGCATAGAAACAGACAGAGAATGACTTGGTCAGAAACCATCAAAGTTATGAGGAATCTTATTCTCCAATTTGCCCTCAAAGTTGTTAAAGGTTTAATAAACCCATATCCTGGCATGCCAGAGACACTGTCAGATATACGATGACGAGGCTATTTCCCTTTAAAAGGCTAACTTCCTGGAGCTCCACCTACAGTTGCTGAAACTTCGATGTAAAGTTCCTGATCGGCAACATATCCCCAGGAAGTAACTGCTGCCTCTTTTTTTTTTTTTTTGTTTTTTTTTTTGTTTTTCGAGACAGGGTTTCTCTGTGTAGCTTTGCGCCTTTCCTGGAACTCACTTGGTAGCCCAGGCTGGCCTCGAACTCACAGCGATCCGCCTGGCTCTGCCTCCCGAGTGCTGGGATTAAAGGCGTGCGCCACCACCGCCCGGCCTACTGCTGCCTCTTTTATGGCTGGGCCAACAACGTTCCATACAGTTACATCTTTGAGAACCTTTTGTTCCAAGCTACCTTCGCTCCTGAATCCATACATACCATAACCTGAAGGCAAAAATGAGCGGACAATGGTTAAGACACAACAGACATTTCTGTGCATATTAAGTTACAGAGTTTAGTAAGAAAGCCATGACAAGGATGTAGAACCACTGCTTCAAGAAGGTAAATATATGAAGCCGGGCGGTGGTGGCGCACGCCTTTAATCCCAGCACTCGGGAGGCAGAGGCAGGCGGATCTCTGTGAGTTCGAGGCCAGCCTGGGCTACCAAGTGAGTCCCAGGAAAGGCGCAAAGCTACTCAGAGAAACCCTGTCTCGAAAAAACCAAAAAAAAAAAAAAAAAAAAAAAAAGAAGGTAAATATATGTCGGCGCACGCCTTTAATCTCAGCACTCGGGAGGCAGAGGCAGGCAGATCTATGTGAGTTTGAGGCTAGCCTTGTCTACAAAGTGAGATCCAGGACAGCCAGGGTTACACAAAGAAACCGTGTCCCCCACCCAAAAGGCAAATACAACATCCTTCCCTTCACAGCACACATTCCCTTAGGTGATGGGCTCCACTATTAGAGGACAGCACTGTACACTGGCAAGAGTCTAGCAGGAATAAGGCAATTTTATCCAACTTATCCAAAATCTCCATCTGCTTCATTCTAAGAAAATGAAACGATTTAGAAACAACCCAGAGACAAGTCAATGCCAGACACATACTCCACATCACCAAAGAATTTAAAGGACATTTGTTACATGGGAAATGAATGTTTATTTGAATTTTTTTAGTTAGTTGTACAACTAATTCATGACAAATTACCAGATGAATTTTATAATATTCTTCAGGACTGGGGTTTTTCGATGACTTCAAATTTGGGATCTAAAAAGAGGGAAAAGTTTCAGGCTTAGCCATGCAAAAAAAAAAACAAGATTCGCTACAATGCTTAAAGTTTACCAGTTCTTAGATTTTTTTTAAAGAAAACATCTGTTTTTAAACATGTACACAAAAACATAACAACTGTCAATCTTTCCACAGCTTCTGTGAGTAGGGATCTCTATTAGCCTATGCTGCACCAATGGTGGTGTGTAACTAGGCCAACCAAATGAGAAAGCTATCATAATTCACGTGCTCTCCTACACTGAAGTAAAACAGTGACCCGAAGGCTTCCTTTCGAAACACATCACGGTTGGAGGAACTCCACATGTAACTAAACTGTCATTTAACTTCCAAACAATCCAAAAAACTCACCTGGATGAAGGACAGCTCAGTGGGAGCATTTGCATAACAGAGGTAAGGTACTAGGTCTGAGCCTCGCATGAACCCCCAAAAGAAAATGTATGTGAATATTCTCTACCTACAATAATCCACCAAATTTAATTTGTGATTAGACTTACCTTGAAATTTAAAGGTAGGAAACGTATTCATGTCCCCTCCACCATACATTTGTTTAAGCTTATAAAGCTCTTTGTCCAGCTCTTGCTGATACTCTGGGCCAGTATCAACAGGTCCTCCAGATGTCCTATTGGACAAATGAACAAAGAAAACTGATTTTATGAACTAATTAAAAAAAAACTGAAATTACACTTTATCATCAAGTTTTAAGAGATTTTAAAGGTATACCTATGGGGTAAAAAGAAAACTCTTTAGGATTTGAGTTAATTCAAATTTGTTTCGGAATAGGTTTCAGAGATGAGGTAACTTCAAACAAATCTCTAACACTCAAGGTTTGTTAGCATCAAAGATACTTACTAATCAGACCCTCTCAGGATCTGAGTTGCAGTATATGGAAAATGATGCAGTCCAGATAAAAAAAGAAGAAACCCAAACTAGTAAAACAAGAAATCCCAGCAAAACCCAGACCATCAGAGACCTGAACTGTTAAGCCTGGGAGATGCTAAATAATAAATTGATAAAGAGGCCAGGGAGATGGCTCAGCAGTTTGGAACACTTGCTACTCATGCACAGTACTCAGGTTCATTTCCCATCACCCACCAGTGGTTCACCAGTTAACCAGTTCACCATTAACACCAGTTCTAGGGGGCCTAATACTCCCTTCTGACCTCCATGGGCAACAGGCACACAAGTTGTGCATATATATACATATATGCAAAACACTCATACACATTAATGAGAAATAACAACAACTAAAGAGTTATTACAAACAGATGGGTCTTTCAAATGGCTTATTCCACATGGCTTGTTCAGACTGCTTTCTTATAGAAAACAGGACTTCCAGTGCTTGGTGGCCCCACCCACAATGGTGTGGACCCTTCCACATCAATCACCAACTAAGAAAATGCCCTACAAGCTTTCTTATGGTCCTATCTTAGGGAGACATTTTCTCTGTTGAAGCTCCCTCATCTGATGCCTCTAGCTTAGGTCAAGTTGACATAAAACCAACAAGCATAACACTTTAACTTGACACTCACCTACAAAGCTCATGCTTGAAATTGTGCAGATTCCCCCTATGCCCTATACCTCTGGGATCAAAACTGTGTAATTCTCCAAATTTCATGCTTTCTAGTTTTCATACTTTAATCTGACATCATTTTTCCATCCTAAAAGATATAACCTTCCTATTCCTATTTACCTATCTAGTCTTTAAAACTATTATTCTTAACCTGGTATAGTACTCGATGTGTCTTCCAGTTGGTTGAGAACAAGCTATAAGCAAAATCATGAGTAAATTCTTTTGTAGCTTGAGTTTTCCTGCCTGGCCCACAGTCAGGGCAAATCTCTCTCACCCGCCAGTCCCACAGCCACTCAGACCTGACCAAATAAACACAGAGACTTATATTGGTTACAAACTGTATGGCCGTGGCAGGCTTCTTGCTAACTGTTCTTACAGCTTAAATTAATCCATTTCCATTAATCTATACCTTGCCACATGGCTCGTGGCTTACCGGCATCTTCACATGCTGTTTCTCATCATGGCGGCTGGCAGTGTCTCTGAGTCAGCCTTCCACTTCCCAGCTTTATTCTCCTCCTTGTCCCGCCTACACTTCCTGCCTAGCCAATGGCCAATCAGTGTTTTATTTATTGACTAATCAGCAACACATTTGCCATACAGAACATCCCACAGCATTCTTTCCTTTTCTTTTCGTTTTACACTGGGAAGATGATTTACAGCTGCCCAGGAGACACTCAAAAGAGTAGAATGTTCCCAAGCACTGCCTTCAAAGCCCTAATGTGAACTTTTCCAAAATACCTTTCAAAAATGTCTCCAGCTGGGAAGTGTTTCCTTTCAGATCTCCAAACACTAGATACCACCTAGCATCTAACCATTTACGTATACTTGTTTGTTTATAAGCTTTCTACTTCCATCAGGTTTTAAGAATCTGCATGTTATAAAAACATGGTCCATATCAATTAGCCCTCATTGTGGTGACATTGTGTTCCCCAAAATATTGTGCTCCCTAATAAACTTATCTGGGGTCAGAGAACAGAACAGCCACTAGATATAGAGGCCAGAAAATGGTGGCACACATGCCTTTAATCCTATCACTTCGGCGGCAGAGATCCATCCAGATCTCTGTGAGTTTATAAAGCCTGACTCAATCCCAGGAAGTGAGCCTTTAATCTCAGGAAGTGATGGCAGAAAGCAGAAAGGTATTGAAGGCGTGAGGACCAGGAACTAGAGCTGGTTAAGCTTTTAGGCTTTTGAGCAGCACAGTTCAGCTGAGAGGCATCCAGTCTGAGGAAACAGGATCAGCTGAGGAATTGGCAAGGTGAGGTGGCTGTGGCTTGTTCTGCTTCTCTGATCTTCCAGCATTCACCCCAATAACTGGCCTTGGGTTTGGTTTTATTAATAACACTCTTTAAAAAGATTCATGCTACACCTCATGTTCTTTATAAATGACAGAAGACTAAAGGAAAGAATTATACACTCCTGTGTATCATTTTCCTAAGATTTAGGGGTTGAACCAAATGATGGATAAACTGGATATTTATCTCAAATGTGTGGTTTGCAATCATGTTTTTCCAAGTCTTACTTTAAGCCATTTTGAGTGTTTTGTCATTTCTAGAGATATATCACCATGAAAACATCCTTAAAGAGAAAAATGCTGTTTATGTACATCCCCAAATCACGTCACAGAAAAAGCCAAAAATGAGAGTTGGAATACACTGATTGTATGTTTTGCCCAATCATTCTTAGTTCTATGATGTTAAGCTAATCCATGTCTCTGGGACTCAATTTTCTTAGATAGCTACTAAATGATTTCAAGATGCTGTGTACTTCTGTGACTTATTTCATTGTAATGACATTACTGTGCCTATACTTCAAATGACAACAGATTTACTGGAACTGTCCTTGGAGCTTCTATAAAGAAGACACAGTTAGGACTTACATCTTAAAATGTGCATACTGTGAATATTTATAGTCACAGTGCTCTTGATCATCTCCCCACTTACTGTCGCTTTGACTTGTACTCTCTTATCTTGTCCACGAAGAGTTTCTGTACAGGATCAAGCTCCTTATTAAACGCCACTGCTGTCACACCAATGTTCCTCCTCAGATGCACAGAGACTGCCGAGCGAAGGACAGAGGAGAGCCTGAAGAGCCTCTGGAGAATCATGGTGAGCCTCTGGTACTGGACAAGCATCAGAAAGTTATGCCCTTTTCATAAACCACCCCAAATTTCTATCAATTAAGTTACAGAACTACACTGCACCGAACTCAGGCTCTATCTGGTCTGTCACAGACATATGTAATGACCCTTCCATTACAAAACCTTTGCTTTTTACCAAAAGACTCTGGGACATAGGAGCAGCTGAGAGTTCTAGTAGGGTTACAGCAGAAAGAAAGCACCAAGTCTGGGGTGCTTTTTTTCTCCCATGAACTTGGACCTAAGGAAACAGTGAGGTGAGGCTCTCAAGAACATTACTTGTCTCCAGCAGGAAAAGACACTTTGCTCATAATGTTCCAGTTTCCATGACCCCTCAAAGGGCCAAAGGGCGCTGGACAAAGAGAGTAAAGACAGTTGTTTTAGCCAGGAACAAGAGGCTGGAAAGTTCCACTTCACAGGCCCACAGGAAGGAAAAGAGCTTTGCCTGCTAACAGCAGCAGGATCCTATCCACTTAACACTGTAACAACCAAATCAGCTTCCAAGAGAAACAGTAAAGGAAAACAACCACCCCAAGTGAGCCCTGCAGTAACAGAGAGATCAGATGATAGAAGCTCATCAGAGAGTTTGCACAAGGTCAAAGTCAAGAGTTTAAAAATCAGAGCTTAGCCTTTCAAGTCCTTAGACCTCCTGAAGCTAAAACAAAGTAATTTTCTAGCTAAAAATGTTCATAGATACATTAAAGGACAGGATAATTCTTGTTGAGACCTGAGTTAATAATTTACAACTCAAATGCAAAAATATCCCTAATTACAACAAATACACTCAAGCAGGAACTCCATAAGGAAGAGACAGGGAAGCTGAAATTTAGCAGAAGAAAAATTTCTCCAGATCTAGACTTAGCTTATAAAGGGAAAGGGATCACCAACCCCTAGTGAAATGGCAATAGAAGGACCACATTTCAACAGATAGGGGATAGGTTCGTAACGTTTCTTTAGACCCTGGGAAATAAAACCAGCCCTCTCCCACCTCACATCTGTTTAATAATCATTGTGTTACAGTCTGCTGTCTCACAGTTAATGCTTCTCAAACTATGACAAAGGGTCACTCAAACCCCTGAGGAAAACCTGCTCCCACCCAGCTTTTATCTGTATCTGCCTGCTGAAACCTGACTTCTACTGAACTGTGAGGACCCATGGCAGTGGGCACATTGTAAATAGTGTATATAAGCAAAGAAACTAGGAACAAGGATTTAACAACCTTTACAGCAATTTGACAAATTAATTTGTTCCTTGAATCTGGTGAGGACAGTTACAAAAGTGGTGGTAGATGGGATAGCATTTGATCCCCAGAATCTGCGCGTTCTGTTTCCTTTTGGTTGTCTCTACAGTCAGGATTGGCCGCAAGCTTATAATGCCAGCACTGGAGAGGCAGAGACGGGCAGATGTTTGGACTCAGTTGATAACCCAGTCTTCTTGGCAAGATCTTGGATACTGACTGACCTTGTCTCAAAAACCAACATGCATAGTACCTGGAGAGTAACAGCTGAGGCTGACCTCTGGCTGCCACTGCCAGAGAAACACGTGCAGAAGTGCCCACATACACCTACATAAATACACAGATGCACACAGACAGATAGAATTACATAGAGGGGCTGGAGTAGCTCTTTATCACTTAAAGTTTGAGAATCATTAACTACAAGCCAGCAGAATGGCACAGTGGTTACTAACCTATGTGAAGGGAGTAATTTTATCTCCCAGGGCACATTTGTTGTCTCAAGACAATTTTAGTTGTCCCGAATAGGTTGGATGCAAGTGTCTTGTCGTGGGTGGGGATCGGCCACACATCTATACCCCTACAACATGAAAAATAACAACTCTCCCACTCTCACTTCAAAAGCTTAGGCAGTCTAAAGTGTCAATCAATAATACCAACTTCAACAAAGCCTGGAATAACATTTAGTACTGCTCAAAGCAATCAAACAAGCAGAGGGATATCATTCACCGACCAGGATGAAAACACTTGAAGAAACTAAAGTCTTGATTAATGTGTCAGTCATAATCTACCAGAGAATTATACAGGTGAAAGGGCTACAAGCAAACAAAGAAACAGAAGGTCCTTATATCAGGAAAGTATCACCCAACTCAATGTCTGTCCTCCTGTCTGGAAATCTAGGAACACGTAACATACATCAGTAAGGGTAACAACACTTGTTTAGCTCTAGACATTTTGAAAAATACATTGCCCACTTAAGGAAATACCCTTTAAAGAGTTAGGGGAAGGTGGTCTTAGTCTTGCTTTCAGTTGATAAAAACTGTATCTAAGGAAGGCTATTGTTTACCTTCTACAGTCAACCTGCTCTCAAGCTGACTGCAAAGACTGTCATTTCTTCTACAAAAACAGGCAAAAAAGTTCCAGCTTTCAATAACGTAGCATTAAAGTACTGATTCTCAATTCACATTTCTAATTTACCCTATTTCCTGAGCCCCAAACATACATGTATGTGTTTATCTGCCTCCTAAATCCGACACAATCATCCAAAAACATGAACACACAGTCTCTTACCAAAACTACTTGTTGCTTCTCTTTTACTGCCTTCCACTTTTTCAGATTCAACAGTGAATACGGACTGTTCACTAGCACATAGAAGAAAATGTCACCTTAAGTGTATAAAACATCTGTGACAAATTCTGTATTGATGTACTATCAGGAGCTAGCTGTCTGTGAGGGGTCTAATATTAAAATATCGGGGAAAGCATTGGGGGAAAAAAAAAAATCAAAGTTCAAACCCAGAGGCGTAGCCTTGGGAAGGAGCATGGCTCTCCTATTTATAGCGATGACTGACCAGCCCAGCCAAAAGCTAGTCCGTTTGCTGCCTGTTAGTATGTAATCATAAATCAATCCACCGTTTCTAAAGTCAACCCATAAGGCTGTTTTAACACCATCGTTTCTAGACTAGATGCAAACTTTGGGGATATCACGAGTGCCCTTTTTGTTCCGTCTTAAGGGGCTCGACCGGCGCTCCTGCATAATTCACAAGCTTCTCGCTCGTGCCTTGACCTTGGGCTGCCCCAAGCGGGCTGCAGACCCATCCCCCCGCCCTTCTGCCTTCCGTGCGGGTCTGTTCTGCTCTCAAAGGGGGTATTAACGGTCTTCTTGTGTCTAAGGCACAGTTTGGTACTCAGCACGGCCGAGGTCACCTGTGACCTCAGGCCGGGCCGGGAAGGTGCCAAGGACACGGGGCTAACTCTCTGCGACTAGAGCAGAGGTGATGGGCAGCCCTTGGCTCGTGAAGAAACCCAGGATCGCAGTCCCAAGAGGCCAAGCTAGCCTGGTTACCCTCCCAGTCACCTTGCACTGAGTCCCGAGCTGCCAGAGTCCCCGCCGCCGCCACCGTTCTACTTCCGGCCCTGGCTCCGCCTACACACGCCTACCCGCCATCGCAGTGCATTATGGGCCGCCGCTTCAGTCGTTCGACGCTCACCGGACAGGAAGCGCCTCGGAGACAGTCTGCGACCGGACGCCTCTAGGTGAGACAGAAGCCAAACAGGAGGAGGAAGTGGAGGGCAAGTGCTTCCGGGTCCCATAGCTAAGACTCCGCCATCTTATCTTTCCTTCACTTTAACTTCGCCCCTTTTTCCCCCTCTTGGAAACAGTGCACTGTACGCATGCGTACTTTGTTCTCTCTTCTAGTTCAGGCTCCCTTCGGAGTCAGCGTCTTGTTCCGTGGGGTTGGGGAGGTGGCTGCAGTGTGTGTGTGTGGGGGGGGGGGGGGGGAAGCGAGCGCGTAACACCGAGCGGCTAGGGGCGTTTGTGCCTCGTGAGCCTCCGTTGCCGCCGGCGTTCGTGTCGCGCAGCCTGCTGGGAGTTGTAGTTCCAGGCCCAGGGGTGCCTGGGAGGCGGGAGAGGGGCCGGGGTTCCTTAGCGCCGATTCCGCGGGAAGGGCCCCGGGGCCTCACTCAGCGAGTCGCGGGCGCGGCGCGGCTTACCCGGAGAGTCGCTGCACGTGGAGCCCGCGCCGCCGCCGTTCCCAGCCGGCTGTGGAGCGCGGCCGAGGGCCACGGGGCGGATTCCGGAGCTGGTGAGTGCGGCCGCGGGCGGGCGGGCGGGCGGGCGGGGAGCGCGGGCCCCGCGCGGCCGGCCTGGTTCCGGGGCTTTTCCCCCCGCCGCGGCCCCCCCGCGGCCGCCTCTGTGTTTTGTTTCCGCTGGTCCCCGGCGTTGTGACTCCCATTTCCGTTCGTGGAGACTTGAGGGAGCCGGGTGGGGAGGGGCGGGAGAGGCTGTGCGGGGAGCCGAGGGGAGGGGCGCGGGGAGCGGCATGGTCCGGGGCCGGCGCGCGGCGGAATGCTGAGGGCGCGCTTGTCGCCCGGCGCGGGGCGGGCTCCGCGCGCTGGCCGGCTGGCCTCGGCTGGCCTCGGCCGGCCTCGGCGGCCCCGCGCTCCCGGGTCTCTCTGGAAGGGGCCAGACCAGCCTGTCCCCCGACTCGGCGACTCCCGCACCCCACATCCAGTTGGCCCTCTGGAACGGTCTCAGAATTGCACACTAATGCAACTGATGACTTCCAGTTTCTTTTACGAAGAAGTCAGTGAAGGTTAAAGGTTATTGTACTTGGCCAGCTTTTTTTTTTTTAAATTAATTAATTTTTTTTTTTTAAATCACTGGTGTAGTGCAACAACGATGGAGTTCAGGGATTCCACCCTAGGGTTAACAGCATGGGGAATGGTGCCAGTTCGTCGTTTCAAGATGATGAGTAGTCGTTTGAAAATAGTTCCATAGGTAGGCCAGTGACATGGCCCGGCAGGTAAAGCCACTTGCTGCCAAGCCCGATTATCCGAGTTCAACCCCTGGAACTCTAGTGGCAGAGAGAACTGACTACCACAAGCTGCCCTCTGACCTCCACACATGTGCACCTACTATCTAGCTACGGCTGACCTGAGACTTGTTGTTTAGACTAGGCCGCCTAGAATGCAGAGGTTTGTGTGCCTCTGCTTTCTGAGCCCTGGCATTAAAGGAACGTACCACCACGCCCAGCAGTAAGTAAATGCAATTTTTAAAAAACCAATAGGTCGTTTGGACTAATGATAGGTCTGAGTGCTGGCAAGAGGAAATGATTTCAACAGATTCACCATCGTCACGTTCTTAGATATACACAGTCGTCTTTAACGACACAAGATACTGGCCACCACTTTAGTGCTTTTTTCTTTTTTTTTTCTTATTTGTATGCAGACCCGGGTGCCAAGTGGACTGAAGTCCATTTTACCTGTACTGCAAGTACAGAAGTGTATCTTGGGTACATGGTCATGAAGTAGTGAATTAAGTACTGACATATTAAGTTGGAAGAGTCAGGAGAGCAGATAGAGGCCAAGTACTGAATTAACACGGTTCACGGGAGTCTTCTGGCAACTAAAAAAAAAAAACTTAAATCTTAGGACTGAAAAGTAAAATGGTAATTTTGAAAACCTGTATGCCCTTCACCTGAAGAAGGGTCTTCAGTTTTTAACTTTTAATCAGATTTTGGTTTTTGCTCTTTACACACACAACGCAGATGTACATGCTGTCCTTTTTCCTAATGGTGATTGCATTTTCTAGGAAATGCACAATACAATGTGAATGAATTTCGTCTTGGAATGATTCGTACCTGTGCATTTCTTCACACCCTGAATTATTTTAGTTTGCTTTGGTATGAATTTCCTGTTTCTGTGCTGAGCTTTGCCAGCTTTGGGAGTTTGTCCCACCTTTTTTTCTCTTTTTGGTTATTAATTAACTGAGGGTTTGGTCTTTCCACTTAATAGTCACTTTCAGTTCTGTTTTGTAACTTGTGCGTAAAACAAGAATTTTAATCTTTATGTAATCAGGCCAGATATTTAGCTAGACAGTTGTAATCCCTCTCCATGTTAAACTTCAGGTTTGAATCCAAGTTGCTTTAATATAGTTGCTCTAATTTTCATTTGCTTTTGTAGTGTCTTGAATTAACTTACTTAGACTGGGCCAACAAGTTCCATTAAATAAAGGAATGGAATCACCGTATCAGGCTAATAAATGGCAATTTAAACAAAAACTAGTTTATAAATGTGGTATGTGAGCTTTCACATAGATAGAGCACCTCTCCTCCCTCCGCTTTAATTCAGATTTGGTCTTTTTCTTGCATATCATTTTTGCTTTTACAGGTGATGTTTAAAAATCTTGACATTGATCTCTTCTAGGACTGAACATTGAAAGACTTCAGCCATGACTAAGAGAGAAGCAGAAGAGCTGATAGAGATTGAGATTGATGGAACTGAGAAGCCAGAGTGCACAGAAGAAAGGTTGGCAGTTCTGAATTGACCAGTTTTTACTATTACTGGTATTCCAGGTTACAGTCAAGGACCAGACCAATGTGTTTAGTTTTGTGTGTCCGTGTCCGTGTCCATCCCCGTGTCCCGTCTCTCCCTCCCCCTCCCCCCGACTTAATAGGTCTGTAGCTCAGAGAGAAAGGCATTTCTGAAATATAAGCAGTAGTAATGGGCACACAGTTATAATAGCCTGTCCCCACCCCCATCTAAAAGGCATTTCTTTGATTGTTTTTTATTCTTTAATAAGTGCTGATCACTTCTATTTCAAAGACAGTATAATTCAACCTGAATTTAACAATGGTTATTTATGAATAACTGCTGTATATTAGTAACTGTCAGAAATAAAATGAGTAAAATAAGACAGTTTCAAATGTCCTTATAAAAGTCGAAGAACACCTGTGTCCACAGTACTGACCATAACAGTAAAAGTGTTGCTTCTTGGAATGACGATGGAGTCTTACCTGAAAGGGGGTGGTGATGAATTCAGAATCAAGGGAGAGATTCTGATAGAAACAGATTTGGAAAAAGTCAGTAAGGAGGTTGTGGAGATAGTAGCTAAGGTGCTATTATACTCTGTAAAGCAGGAGACAAGCTAATATACTGAAGCTAATGGGACTGAAAGGTCATGGGGGACTTCTACAGAGTAGTAAAAGACAGGCTGGGATGACTTAGATCTGGAGGATGCTGAGTTAAGAAGACAGCTAAAATTTAAACTTCAGTGCTAAAGAGAGCTTTGGATTGTTTGTTCCTTTCTGCAGCACAAGAATAGAATGCCTGGGGTCAGCTTAGCTGGGTGGTTTTGACCTGAGTACTTTAAGAGCTTCTAGTTGAGTTAGTTGTCAGTATGGTCTGTAGTCACCTAAGAGTGGTCTGGAACTATAGTATCTGCCCCAAAGATCACTGGTGATCTTGTTGGCAGGGAACCTCAGTGTGTCCAGTGAGCCTTTCTCTAGGGCTTTTCAGTTAGTCTGAGAAGGTGCCAAGGGAGAAGCCAAAGAAACTGTAGCATTTGGTCCCACAGCTCAACCCTTGTTCAGGTTGGGAAGGAGCTGCAGAACTGGAGTCTAGCATGTCTACTTATTTTTAGGCACACAAATACTGCTAAATGCTCCATAGAGCCTAAAGTGTTTATCACGGGCCCTTTGCAGGTGTCTGGGTGGTCGATTAGCTGTTAACATGTGGCTCAGTGTAAAGGAGGCCATAGGTGTTCTCCAACTCCAGCAGTTTGTTATGTTGCAGAAATTGAGAAACAGTAATGTGATTAAGATTTTTAGATTTCCCAAGGTTTATAACTTTGCAACAAGAAACTTCGAAAATCTTAATACTTGATATTCATAGAAGTGAAATTTTAGAATCTGTTCTAAGGTAGCATTTGGATCTCTTAAAAATCATTATTACTAAAAAGGATAGGCTTCAGTGCTTAATAGCCAAAAAATATGCTGAAAGTGCTCACTTTCAAAAAAAACCAAAACATTCTTTATATTAACCAAGAATAATAATACACTATTATTTTAAAATAATATTGTTTTTAATCATGAGTGTTCTGTTTTATAAATTTTAAATATTTTAAGAAATGTGTTGTATATATATTCACTAAATATATATATTTTATATATATCATTATACTTGGAAAATATGTAAAAATAAAATGACATTGTGTATGTGTGCACACTCATGCACTTATACATGTTTGTGTGTGTTGAATGTGGATGCCTGTATGCCATAGCATGCATGTGGAGGTCAGAGGTCAGCGTCAGGTGTTCATCCTCACTATCCAGCTTGTTTAGACAGATCTTGTGTTTACCACTGCATAGGCCAACCCAGCTGGCCTGTGAGCCTGGGATTTTTGCTGCCTTGTCTCCCATCTTACTGTAGGTGCACTGGTGAGATGTGTACTACCATACCTGCCTTTGCCTGGGTTCAGAGGATCCAAACTCTGATCCTCAACATGTCCAGCAAGTGTTATCCTACTGAGCCATTTCCCTAGCCACTCACTCATGTTTTATTTTATTAGAAAATTTTATTTTTAATTATGTATATTTCAGTTATGTATCTGAGTGTGAGTATATGCAGGTGAGTTTAGGTACCAGCAGAGGCAAAAGCATCAGATCACCATGCAACTGGAGTTTTAGATGGGTGTGAGCCACATGATGTAGGTACTCAACCAATTCATGTCCGTCCCTCCATCTGTCCCCATGCCCCCCCCCTTAACCACTGAGGTATCTCACTGACTCCCACTTCATACTTATTTTAATAACTATGAAGAGATTTAAGTCATATTTAAAGTTTAAATGTGTTGTGAAACTTAAGTTAGTAAATACTATTTCCTCAGTCTTCTCTTTGACACACACACACACACACCACACACACACACACACACACACACACACACCCCGGTAAGCATTTACAAGAGATATGTACAATTACTTATCAAGGCTTTTAACCTATTTGAATTGTGAAATAACAATGCAAAAGAGCTCCAAGTAAGTTTTAAGGGGCAATATAAATTCCTAAGACTAACTAGGCAGTGATGGTGCAAGCCTTTACTCCCAGCACTCAGGAGGCAGAGATAGAGGCAGGTAGGTTTCTGAATTCCAGGACAGCCAAGACTATTCAGATAAACCTCTCAAAAACCTAATAATTGGTTAGTATTCAAATTAAATTGCAAGTATTTATATTGTTATGCCTTATCAATTTATATTTACTAGGTTATATTGGTAAGGAAATTGATTAGTAGAAATGTACAAAATTTTGGTTTTGATTTTTGTTTTGTTTTGTTTTGAGTTTTGAGATGGGGCTCATATAGCCCATGCTGGTTTATATTTCTCTATGGAACTGAGGATGGAGGATGGCCATGAACTGATGCTCCTGTGTCTACTTCCCAAGTGCTGTGATTAAAGGCTTGTGCCAAAATCTCAACAAATTTTACACATTTTAAAGGACACAGTGTATTACCATGGTTCTGGGCCTTAAATTCTTGAAAATAACTTGGGAGGTAATATAAAGGCACACATTTCCCCTTAGATAGTATACATCCAGCACTTATTTATGTACTGGTGGCTGGTGCATGCATTTATATACATAACTAAGCATGTTTTTAAGAGTGTTTTAAGTTTCAAATTAGCTATGAGATTTAGCATTCATATTGACAACATTAGTCCATGGTTCTAACAGCATCAAAGAAGAAATTATTACACAACATAGAAGGAAAGAAAAGAGTTTCAAAGACCATGTATGTTTTTGGTATTAATTTTGTTTTGAGCATAGTGTCATCTTTATATCAGGATAACATGTGATTATTAACCTTTATCTCCATTACCATTTAGCATTGTGGAACAGACCTACACCCCAGCTGAATGTGTAAGCCAGGCAATAGACATCAATGAACCAATAGGCAATTTAAAGAAACTACTAGAACCAAGATTGCAGTGTTCTTTAGATGCTCATGAAATTTGCCTGCAAGATATTCAGGTAAGGTTTATCTCTGTAAATATCTATAAATATATCTGATATAAAATTTGAGCACTTAGAAATGAAAATTCTTTTAGCAAATTTCCTGTATCTAAAACTTAAAGATTGAGTAATAAAATTGAATTGCATGAATAATAAGTCACTCATTCCTTTTTACTTTCATGAATATAAAAGTCAAATTAACGATAGAGACGTGGGAAGCATTAAGAAGTGAGACTGAAGAAGTTTGTGCTCGCTGATTTAACTTACTTAATATGAGTTTTCTCACCTTTAGAATGAGGACCATTGACGGAATGGTTTGTATTGCCTTTGCATTTTCTCTGGCAGTAAATTGGAAATATTTCCCATTGTAGTATTATTGTATGTTTGAAGCATCCTCACAGACTTAGTTTACCTTTTTTCCAGGTGATACTACTTTGTGTATAAGAAGTAGTAATCTGAGTAAGATTGCTGAAGTAGTTTTCCATGACTTTACTTTTCTTTTTGGCGGGAGTGGGGGTGGGGGGGGGTTTCGAGACAGGGTTTCTCTGTGTAGCTTTGCGTCTGTCCTGGAACTCACTCTGTAGCCCAGGTTGGCCTCAAACTCACAGAGATCCGCCTGCCTCTGCCTCCTGAGTGCTGGGATTAAAGGCGTGTACCACCACCGCCCGGCTCCATGACTTTTCTAAAACTCACAATAATTGCTAGCATCTGTACACTTTTTTCACATTAACATATGAATGTGTATTTTGTCATTTTTTAACATTGTTTGCTTCGCTTTATTTTATTTTACTATTATTTTGTTTGTTTGTTTTTCTAGATAGGGTTTCTCTGTGTAGCTTTGGTGCCTGTCCTGGATCTCGATCTGTAGCCCAGGCTGGCCTTGAACTCACAGAGATCTGCCTGGCTCTCCTGAGTGCTGGGATTAAAGGCGTGCGCCACTAACGCTCGGCCACTTTATTCTTTACTGTCTGTAATCTTCATGCCTGTCTTGTGATACCATTTTTCCGTGTATTACAGAACTTTGCCTTAGTATTTTAAAAATTCGAGTCCTCTGCAGTTACTATTAAACAATATTCTGTTATAAAGTAAATTGAAATATTCATTAGTTGCTATTAACCATATTTTAAGTCTTTTTCCTTTAATATACATATAATAAATGTTAATGGTGATTGGATATTGCCTTCTAAAATTAGAGACTATGGTTGTATCTACTTAAAACAACATGTTAAATTTTCTTCTTAGTAGTGAGAAGATAAATTAATATGGTATTTTGAAAGTAGTTGATATTCAGTATCTTATTAGAAGTGTAAAGTGCCCAACAGTTCTACTTCAAAGAGTTGTTCCTACATAATGCTCACCTGCGTAATAGTATATTTATAAAGATCCTAAAAGTAAATCTTTTAAAACAGAGTATTCAATACATAAATGCAGGATTCAAAATAGTCATTAAAAGTGGTGAGCTAGAGCTATAAGGATAGAGTACATTGAGTTAAACACTAGCAAAATACTTCCAAATGATCCCATTTAATTGTATCAGTCATCAAAAACCACCATGTTATTATTTCTATTCTGCAATGATAGATAGAATACCTGGCCTCGTAATGAAATATGGCCTACACAGTACCTATTCTATCATAGTTTCTCAGTAAGCAGTTTCTGGATAAATGAAAGTATGTGTAAATCATGATATCATTAACTTGAGAGCTATGCTTGGATATATGGGCATTTCACATCCCTCCTAGCACCTTTCCTCAGCTGAACAAAGAATGTGAGCATGGCAGCTTCAGTTTCCCATGTCAGTGCAAGCATGCATTTGATATTAGTACCTGCTACTTCTGGGAATGCCTTGGCATCGTCAGATAAATGCCAACTTAAAAGCAGCTGGAGCAATCACTGAGTTGTGCTTCTTTGAAGAATATGTTACACATTCAACCATGCTGGAGCCTTGTTCTTATAGGTCCTATTCTTAGTATGCTGTCGTATTCAGGCTCTGAGATCTAACTTTTCGAGATACATAGGCCATAGCTTCCAATGGGTAATGCTAGTGTCCTCTCGACCTGGAGGAAAGTCTTGATGTTCAGAGAATGTTTAAATACCAAGCAAAGACTTACATTAAGGAGTAGAAACTGCCACATTTAGCCAATCCAATGTGTTATAGAGTTTGTTTTGTTTCTGTTCAAGTCGGATATAAAGTCCACTTAATACTCTAGGTTTTATGTATAAGACATTGTAAGTAGTTGAAGTTGTGATTGTACCTTTACTGAATTCTTGGTCATAAGAGTAGAAGGAGGATTTGTGTGTTGAGTATATGTGCAGACACATCTAGACACAATGTACTTATGATGGAAGCCTGTTCCAAGCTAGTGATACAATATCAGAGGTCAAGATTATTTTTATTTCATTAATAAGCCATGGTAAGAAATGCATTCACTAGAAGGAGGTATGAAGAGAAAAGAGCACCATTGTTCCAAGGATATGGAATTATGACAAAAGTAGATCCATAGTTGAGTCATGAATCATTTAATTTTATTAACTTTGTGATTAGAGGCTTTTGCGTGAATCCTAAGTGGCATTAGTTACAAGGGAGATACGGCATGGATATGTTAGTAAACTTAGGTAAATTGTCAGCCGCTAATTAACATCTTTCCTTATCTGATAACCATTGGATTATCTTGTTCTTTAAATACATTTGCAGAATGAAGAATTGCCTGTTGGTGTTATTTAAGATCCCAGCTGAGGTTGCAGAGCTCCCATAGAAAGCTGCCACTTAAAATAACTTTGCAGCAGCAGGGAATGGTTGCAGGGTGTCTGCCTGGCACACATGAGGCCCTGACTAGTCCTCAGCACCACCAAAATAGAAAAATTAATGTGGTGGGTTTCTGCTGTCCTCCATTACTTCCTCAGTGGTGAAAATATTTCTAGTTTTAGCAAATAAATAGTATGACAGCTTTATAATTAAATACATTCTTATAAATATTAGTATGCTCAGAAATTCTGTTTGGTACAGTGGTTTGTGCTAAACCACAGACAGTAACTTAGCTAAGGATTAAGCTAAAATAATCTTACTTACTCTTGTCTGTTTAGCTGGATCCAGAACGAAGCTTGTTTGACCAAGGAGTGAAAACAGATGGAACTGTACAGCTTAGTGTACAGGTAATTTCCTACCAAGGTAAGTTACTTCCGTTGGCAGATACTTAAAAATCGAGTTCATGTTTGTCCCCTAAGATAGCTGAAATCTGTCTGCTGAAGGCGTTTGAGACGAGCGTCCAGATGCCTGGAGTGGTTCTAGACTTGTGCTTTTGTTCCCTAAGTACATCTTCAGGGTAAAGCTGAGAGTGTAGCACGTTTCACCTAAGTGAGATAGTGGTATATATTGAACTATAATAAAAAGTAGAATCACATCATAAAGAACTATTTCTTCTAACATTTTTATTCTTTGAGAATTTTATTTTATTTTTATCATATTCACCCCCACTCCTGCCCTTAACAGTTTAGTTTATTTTTAATAAATACTATATCTTATGTACAGTTGTTTACCATTGTTCTTAGGGTATAATTTCTAAATGTAATTCTGATTTCTGAAATAGCTTTAAGTTTTTGCCTGCTAAATCTCCATTGAGGAGTCTCCGTAGTGATAAATCACTTACCTCAACTTTATTTCTATCCTTTCCATAGGAACTACAGTTTTTAATGCTATAGGGCCTGAATGTCTTTAGGATGTGGGTTAATTGATGTGAATTTAATTGAACAAAGTCAGCAGATGTTTAGGATGGAAGACAAGGGCTGAGGAGATGGCTCAGTCTGTAAAGTGCTGTGAGTGAGCGTGAAGACCTGAGTTCAGACACAGTGGTTCTTACCTCTAATGCCAGTGTGGGGAGCAGAGAAAGGAAAATCCTGGGACTTGCTGACTTTCCAGTCAGAATGAATTGGTGGCACTCAGACTCAGTGAAACATCCTGACCCAAAAAATAAGGTGGAGAAAGATTGAGGAAGATGTCCCACATCAACTCTCACTTTCATGTGCATGCGCGCGCGCGCGCGCACACACACACACACACACACACACACACACACACAGTGCCACACACAATGAAGTAAAAAGAAGGCAGACAGAGCCAAGTACAGTGGTTTGTAATCTCGGCACTTGGAAGGCAAACACGGGGATAGCTACTCTGGGCTTCATGTGATCCTGTCTAAGAGAGAAAGAGAATAGAATCTCATTTTAATTTTCTTAGAAGGTTTGTAAAATCTTGAAGAATGTGTAGCTACTCATGCACTCTGTTTCTGTTTTTTTTTTAATATCAGTATCATATCATTATATCAATACCTTCATCTTTTTTATATTGCTGTTGTAAGAAGTGGCATTTTTTCCCATGTGGTATATGTAGGTAATGTTTGTCAAGTTTGTGTGCTCAAACTTAGAATGCTAGGTTAAAGAATTTTTAGGTATTCTCTACATAGGTGTTAAATTTTATTACAGTTGACTTTACTTCTTTTTTTTTAAACATACATTTTTATTTTTCAATTATTTCAGGATAAATTGCAGACATGATTATTTTCTATCTCTAAATATATCATCAGTGTCTGTGTTTCCTGAAAACCAAGGGTCCTAGACTAGGGTACAGCTCAGTGCTAGAGTTCTTCCCTCTTCTGTGTGAGGCCCTGTGTTGGATCCTCAGCACTGCAGTGAAACAGTGCTCAAGCATGCTGCTGTGTAATCACATAACTGCTGCCAAAGTCAGAAAATTAATATTGACACAGTACTGTTGCTGTAGAATTGTACTTACTTAGAAATAAAGATCTGTTCAGTTTTTCATTATTTCAAGAACTTTTTTTTTTTCATTTGGAAAAATAAACTTTACTTTTAGCTCTTTGTGTCTTGTGGTTTTTATTTAAATTTGTATTTTTGTTTTATCCACTGTTAGGAATTGAGCCAAAGCTAAACATTCTTGAAATTGTTAAAACTGCGGAAACGGTTGAAGTGGTCATTGATCCAGATGCCCACCATGCAGAAGCAGAAGCACATCTCGTTGAAGAAGCCCAAGTGATAACTCTTGACGGCACCAAGCACATCACAACAATTTCGGATGAAACCTCGGAGCAAGTGACGAGATGGGCTGCTGCACTGGAAGGCTACAGAAAAGAGCAGGAGCGCCTCGGGATCCCCTATGGTAATGAGACGGCTATTGTTGGGGGCAGTCAGAGTTAAAGGAGATGTGGAAAATACCACTTGGATAAGATAGAATATTTTTTAATGTAGATGTTCTGGAAAGATTATTGATTTTTATATATCTAGTTAGTATTGAACATACTAAGAACATAATGAACAAATACTATGCTGATTGCTTGGAATACAAAGAATTATTAGAAAAAATTCTGCCCGTAGCATGTTCACAGTGTAGTTGAAGAGAAAGATGATAAATAAAAAGAGGTGAGTGTCATAGAAAGTTTAAACTGTCAGTGACTAATACAAATAAAGCATGCCTTTAGAACATCAAAGAAATGAATATTTTGAGGAATGCCAAATGGAGTTGAGACAGTAGTTCATGGATTCAGGACAAGCTTAGGCTTCTGTAGCAGGCCCTTTCTCAAAAAACAAACAAGAATGTCATAGGATCAGAGTACTCTGAGGAAAATGGGAGTGAGTTTATTCTGAGAAACTACACTGCCATAAAGATCATTTCAAACAGGAGACATTCAGAACAAAGCGTAGACCTGGATAAATGCAAGAGTACTTAGGCTGTATTGGATCAAGAGTTATTTCTGACATCGTGGAACTGGTTTTGGTCAGTGAAAGTGATAACTAAAAAAAAAAAAAAATGAATGTTGCCCAGATGTCCATAAGGCACATAGTGGCTGAGTGAGAGAAAACAAGAACATAGTAATGCTGTTCAGATGAGCATAGACTAGGTGGCTTCTTTAGTAGTAAGCAGGAAGAGATTGGTGAAAACAGTGATAAGGTTGGCAGATTGTGAACATGGAGAGAGGATACTCAGAGTGACTAGAGTGGTAGTTTGGGTACAAATTGGTTGCTTTTTCATTACTTTTACTAGGCACTATGGTAAATTCTGGGCTAACGATGATCCCCAAGAACAGAGCATGCCTTTAACGACACACCCCTTAACCCTGTATAGGACTGGCCTTAATGCCTTACACTAGCTAGGCAAGCACTTGACCTTTAAACTAGATTCCTAACTGCTAGGCATACCTTTGAAAGTCTTTGGGAAGATATAGGGCTGTCTGGTATAAAGGTTTCTTAAGCGAGAGTATTGATAGCACTTGACTTTGAAGTAAAGTACATTATCAGTTTAGGGTACCCTTAAATTCACATAATTTCAGGAGCACAAACTCTCAGGCTGGAGATACAGATATTGTGTGGAGCACATTCATATTGGGTTTGTATTTGAAGACATAAAAGTAAAAGTCTTTTGAAAGAAACGTGGAAAAGAACACATTACTGGTTCCAAGACAACCTGTAGGGCAGGAGAAGGGAAACAGGAAAACGTAAAAGATGCCAGGTGTAATGGTATGTGTCTTTAATCCCAGCACTCCAGTGGCAGAGGCAGGCAGATCTCTGAGTTCTGGGTCAGCCAGACCTGCATAGTGAGACCCTGTCTCAAAAATAAAGCCCAAAATCAATGGTACAGCTGAAGACAGAAGGAAATAACTATGTAGTATCACTACTATTGAGGGAGAGTTATAGGTAACACTCTTGAGATGCTTTTGAGAAAGTCAGAAATACAAAGTAACATCTAGTTTGGTAATCATAGAACGATTGTTTAATTTGGATTTAAGTTACTGTAGAGTTCGATAAAGCTGAACTATAGGCACAACTTAGAAATGGGGGAACATTTATTAGAAGCAATAGAGAAGAAAAGCGTTAGGGAAACAAAGTATCATACAATTGAAGAGTTGGTAGTGTGCTCTTACCACTATTCCCTCAATAATGTAACAACAACTTAGAGTATTCACAGTGTATTAGGTATCTTATTTAGACGTGGTTTAAGTTACATGCGTTCACATACATCCTTCATAAGTAAATACTGCACTATTTTGTAGAAGACTTAGTCTGAGGAATTTGGTATCCTTGAGGAGTGGGGGCCTTCTGGAACCAGTTCCCCACAAATGCCAAGGGATAGGTATATGCAATTCCTTATTGTGACATGTAGAAATTTACTTTTGGCATGTAGAAGCTAGTGTGGATATATAGTTTATTTGACCTTTGTGATAGCAAGTTAGGAATCACCTGAGAGGAAATGCTGAGAAGGGAAGAAAGGGACATGAAAACACTGAATAGTGTTTTTGCAGTGTTTGCTGTTATTTTCCACAAGACATCCTCAGTAGTAGTAGTAGTAAAGTTACAGGAAGTAATCATAAAGATGACCATAGGTAGCAAGATGATTGATTCTCTGTGGTTCAAGGTCCTACCAGGAATGTCATTTACTTAAAAGCACATTTAAGCCGGGCGGTGGTGGCACATGCCTTTAATCCCAGCACTTGGGAGGCAGAGGCATGTGGATCATTGTGAGTTTGAGACCAGCCTGGTCTACAAAGCAAGTTCCAGAACTGTTAACATAGAGAAACTCTGTCTCAAAAAAAAAAAAAAAAAAAAATTTAAAAAGTACATTTAAAATACTTGACAATATCATTGATGAAATTCTTTGTCATGAAATTTTTATCTACTAGACAAGTATCTTAGTTAGGGTTTTTGTTTCCATGAAGAGATACCATGACCGTGGCAAATTTTAAAGGAAAGCATTTAATTTGAGGTGGCGGCTTACAGTTCAGAGGTTCAGTCCATTATCATGGCAGGAAGCATGGTGGCATGCAGGCAGACATGGTTCTGGGAAAGTAGCTGAGAGTTCTATATGTTGGAGGCAACAGTAAGTCGACTGAGACACTGAGCAGTATCTTGAGCTTAGGAAGCCTGAAAACCCGCCCTGACGGTGACACACTTCCTCCAACAAGGCCACACCCAATTAACATTGAAACAACCATATTCCACTCCCTGGCCCCCAGAGGTTGTAACAATATCATAAGGCAAAATGTATTTAGTCCGACTTCAGAAGTCCCCATAGTCTATCACAGTCTTAATAGTGTTTCAATTTCCAAAGTTCAAAGTCTTTTCTGAGATTCATGCAATCTCTTAACTTTCATCACCTGTAAAAATCAAACTCAAAAAGCAGATCACATACTTCAACATATAATGGTTCAGGATATACATTGCCGTTCTAAAACACAGGGAAGGGAAAGTAGCAAGGAAATACTGGACCAAAGTTAGACTGAAAATCAGTGGACACACTCCAAACTCTGCATCTCTGCACTCCAGGCTTCAACGTCACAGCTTCACGCAGTGGCCTCTCTACTAGACCTCCTTTCAGGGACACCCCTGACACGTTTAATTACATTCAAAATACCACAGCAAGCTTACACTGAGTAATATATTCTCAGAAAACTACCCTTTTAAACTCCTCTTTCTTTTTTTTTTTTTTTTTTGGTTTTTTCGAGACAGGGTTTCTCTGTGTAGTTTTGCGCCTTTCCTGGAACTCACTTTGTAGACCAGGCTGGCCTCGAACTCACAGAGATCCGCCTGGCTCTGCCTCCCGAGTGCTGGGATTAAAGGCGTGCGCCACCACCGCCCGGCTTCAAACTCCTCTTTCTTTATCTACATGCAGTTTTGACAAATTTACTACCTCAATTACCACTGAAATATAATATGATTAACTGTAGCTACTTTAAATGTCTTTGAAATACTGACCCACATTGGGAAATCCCTTAAAGTTCACATTAATATAAACCAGTTTTCTATCTTGATAGCAGCTTAGACACTTTTTCATTCATGTGGTTATATGTGCAAATATTTTTAGTATTGCCCATTAAACTAATCTGAAGGTCAAATTAATAACTTTATAGTAGTTAGAAATCTATCAAAGAGATGGGCTATCCAAAATGTTAAAACGATAAAAACAAATTCAGAGTCAAATATGTATTTTTTCCTTTATGAAATACATATATTGAAATGATAGGTTGTAACTTTTATTCTTTTTTTAAAGTATTTTCTAAAAATTTGTTTTTGCCAGATACTAACATTTAAGAACATATGCAGATTCTTAAATATAAATAATATTCACACAGGAAAAGTATTAGTGATTGTATCTAACTAGCTATCCAGTTCCATAGCTCTGTCTTCTCCACACTGGTAAACTCCTTTGTTTAGCCTCTCTCACAGGTCTGATAGAAAGCAAGCTTCTTAGAAGCCAGTTCTGCACCAGCTTTCATTCTGGTGACTTGGCTGGTATATGTGGTGTGGTGTAGATGGTTTGCTTTAGTGTGTTTTTTGGGATGAAGCCTTCCTATGTGGCCCAGATGGACATTGGCTTGTGGTCATGCAGCGTAAGCCTCCCCATTTACTGGAATTGCAGGCACTTGGCTTCCTTTTCTGCTTTATAAATTGCACTGTAACTTTCATTTAAGTTAGTCTGATTGCCTTAGGACTGCTCATTTGTTAAAGAACATGTTAGACAACTCTTAGGTTTCCTGAGTTCAGGATGGACTTCTTTTTTGTTGTTTGATTGGTTTTTTGTTAGTTTGTTTATAAACAGTCTCCCTCTAGCCCAGGCTATCCTAGAATTCACCATGTAGCCCAGCTTGTCCTGTCCTTGCAGCAGTCACCTGCTCAGCTCCCTGAGTCTTATTTATAGTTGCCTAGGTTTGTATGCACATCCAGACTTTGTTTCTCCTACCTGAGTGCTCAGCGTTAGTTCTTCTCATTCTCCTGTGGGTCTGGAAGCAGACTGCACATCTCCAGAGCTGTCCTCTTGGCCTTTGGGTCACTGCTGAGGCCTCCAGTTCTGTGTTCGTAGCCTCAGCCTTTTGTTTACTCCCCATTCTTTCGTTCTGTTTACAGCTTCGCTGGAAAGGGTTCCTTAAAAAAGATTTTTGGCTTTACACTTCCAAATAATACATATTTTACTCTGCTCTGCTTGTGGTAGTGTCATAGCATATTAAAGTGGACAATTTCACTTTTCTTTTAGGTTTAATGACCCCATTCCATTACTGTTGTCATATAAAACATTCAGAGGCACCTTAATTCAAGTTCTTGAGCATCTGCTTTTTGTGTTTGGTCTTTATCCTCATTTGGTTATAGTGAGAATATTTTCTTTCATCGTGGTGTGCATTAGTATTATTCATGGTAATGTGATTCTTTAAAGAATAATCCCGCCGTATACATTAAATGAGTTCCCGCCTCTTTATCCTTCTGCCTTTCTTTTTTTTGGAGTTGAGGATCGAACCCAGGGCCTTGTGCTTGCTAGGCAAGTACTCTACCACTGAGCTAAATCCCCAACCCCCCTTCTGCCTTTCTTGCTGCCTGGAGTCAGCACAACCTGAGCAATCGTAGATCTGAAGCGAGGAGTTCTCACTTTCTGCTGGATCCTCACGGGTGGACAGTTTGGGTCGTAGTTTGGCTCTCCTGAGTAAATTGGTTCTTTCCCAGCTTACTGCTTTAGGAACTAAACCTCCCTCCCCCTCGTGACTGTGTCTGGGGTGCTGTGCTTGTGCAGCCTTACATAAGTGCTGCTCTGTCCCCTGACTGTGACACTGAGAAAAGACGAATACGCGGCCAGTTCAGTATATTACACTGGGTGTCCTGGTAGTATTTGAGGAAAACAGGAGAGACTGTTTCCCTTGCCTTACTTATCTTGATAGTTTCCTGTAAATTTCTTAGAAAATGAGCTTACTTTCTGAAATCTTTGAAAGGGAGGTGCGGTTCAAGGTCACTTGACTAACTCAGAGCCGTCTTACTTGCTCTCAGGTAGCATTGAGCGAGTCCAGGGCTGAGCGCTGCGCTCTCTCAGCTCTCGCTCCCGTTTGCTGCCGTATTTCCTCTCATGCACTCCACCCTTCATCATCCCATCTCCTTCCCTCCTTTCTTTCCTTCCTTTTGCTTTTGTTGGCAATAATGGGAGGTTGACCCCATGGACTCATGGATGCTTGACAAGCACTCTATACTGAGCTGTATATCAACCCTCTTTTCAAGTTTTTATTTTGAGACATGGTCTCCTTAAATTGTCCAGGCTGGCCTTGAACTGTGAATGATTCTCCTGCCTCAAACTCCCAGGTAACCAGGCTTGTGGTTCTGCACCACCAGGCCCAGCATCTGTTCGTTCTCTATTGTTTCTTTTGTTGTTTCCTTCCTGATCTGCTTTCACTGGGCCATGTCTGTGCATCATCCTTGTTGTCGTGCCCCTGTGCTTCTCACTGTGTTCTCATCCCTCCCTGACCCTGCACTCAGCGGCTGCTGCCTTAGGAAAACTATTCTGTAGCCTTCGTGTTTGAGTTTGGCCTGCTGTACTTCCCATGACTGCTTCTCGGCTGAATTCCGGCTTCCTGTGCTCAGAATGAATTGTGTCGTTCGCTTCCCTTTGCATTCTTCTGCATGACTTTTTACTACCTGAGATGAGAGCTGACTGTTGGCCAAGCTTCCCTCAAGTCACCTTAACGGTTGGGGTTACAAGAGTGTGCCACCACACACAGTTTCTTACAAACACGGCTTTGTCTTCACCCGCGTGTATTATGGACTCTATGGTAGATATTTTGTCACCTGGGTGTTTCTCTGTTTGGTTTTTGTGAGCATTTATAGGTTTCTGGTTTCACCCTCAGTTGCTTTTTTTTCTGTCTCTCTGTGTACATTCAGAAAAATCAAACTGCATTCCCATCTTCCTAGACTTTTCCCCTTCTCTTCTTGCTTTCAGTCCTGTGTTTATTTTTACTATAAATTGTTCCTTGACAAAAAGATTGTTACTTCTTCACATACTTTTTTACTGAATAACATCCATTTGTTGGGTATGTGATCACTATTATTTGAGTAGACAGTCATCTTCAAATAAGAGTGCCAGTGCCAAAATTAATCCAGCATCAAGTTCCCACAGATAGCATTTTTTATTAGGTGCCAGGAGTATAGTGATAAAATCTTTGTATATACTGGCAATCTTTTTCTTCTATTTGCAAATTCGGTTAGCTTGTAAAAACAAAAAGAAGAGAAAAGTTGAAGTAATTTGGGTATTCTTTGTATAAAGTCAACAAGTATCTATTCAAGGTACTGTGGTAGACTCTGAAAGTCAGATTTACCAGTCTTTGGAGTTATAGCCTTGATACCAATGGGGAAACAGCTGAGTAAACAGGTAGTTAGATACTATTCATAAGTGCCACCAAGTGTGAGTACAAGGTAGCTAACTTTGTATCAGAAGGGAAGGGGAAAGGGGGCATTGTGCACAAGTTGAAGAGTAATGCTACCTCCCTAGGATCCCATTCAGTTTGTTTCAAGGCACCAAACCATACAGTGCTACAAAATAATATTTTGAGCTTGGGCAGTACCCTCCATTATCTCCAAGATAATATAGTTTAGTTGTCGTTTAGCCCAGTAGAGAATGATTTTATAGTTTGGTTTTTATGATAAATAAAATTCCAGACTAACTGATAGAGAACCAAGTGACTCCTCTGGAGACTTAGATTGAGAAATTGACAAAGAGTAAAGAAGAAAATATAGCATCAGCATGAAAGTTGTTCTTCATAGAATCCATTGTTTCACTTGGAAAAACATCTGTCTGGATTTCCTATGTGTATGTATGTGTATTGAGAAATTAATTGTAAATTGATCTAAGATGGAACTAGGCTAAAGGTAATATTTTTCTTTCTAGATCCTATACAGTGGTCCACAGACCAAGTCCTGCATTGGGTGGTTTGGGTAATGAAGGAGTTCAGCATGACTGATATAGACCTCACCACACTCAACATTTCGGGAAGAGAATTATGTAGTCTCAACCAAGAAGATTTTTTTCAGCGGGTCCCTCGGGGAGAAATTCTCTGGAGTCATCTGGAGCTTCTTCGAAAATGTATAAAACTAGAGTTATTATCTATTTACATTGTAACTAAAGCTTTATTTTTTGTAACTTTGTTTTCATTTTATTGTTAATAAGCAAACGTGCTATAGTAGTTAACATTTATTGTCATAGGTAGTTTGAAGAGTTCTTTATGTGTTATCTCAATTCCTATAGTAATGCCATAAAGTATTACTTTTCTGATTTTTTACTTTTTATGTGAGAGACTGAGGCTGTAAGATTCCTACAGAGTGTTAGACCTAGGGAGTGTAAAAGCTAAGATTCTAATTCAGGCTTCTATGGCATTCCAAGGTCTCTCTTTCGTTTTTCTTTTTGAGACAGGTGTGACTGTGTGCAATGGCTAGCCCTATGCATGAGCCTTTCTGCGGTCCCCACATGATGGGATTGCAGGTGCAAGGCTGGCTAAAGTGGCACCCAAGGTCTTCAGTTCCCCAGGATGCTCTACCCTTAGCCCTTTGCCTGTGTTCTAACCATTGCCTTCTCTTTGCCTGGTCACTGCCTGCATTTGATCACAGACTTCCCTCCTAGTCTCTTATTTGTAGAATCAGGCATTTGAAATGCCTTCTCGTTGAATAAGTGAGATTTTTTTAAGAGCCACAGAGATTATGAATGATCAAGGGACTATGAGCAAAACTTGAAAACTGCCTGGCTGACCAAAGAGTTCAAATAAATATAATCTTTTTTGTTTAATCTATCCCATATATTAATAACTTTTACAGTAAATGTTAAGCAATCTTATCAGCAGCCCGTCCTCTCATACTGTTTTATATATCAGTGATGTTAGCCAGACCTCTGTAGTTTTCAGTTTATAAGTGGATAGATGCTGTTCTTTTTGTTGGAGTCAAGGATGGAAATGTCACGACTCCGTCTTTGTTCTGCTATACACTGATGAGGAAGGAGGATCTCACACAGTAATTTGACAGCATTTTCATCCAAGGGTCGGTCTGCTATTGAGGAAGAGCTGAGCTCTGGAAAGAAGCTCTGCTTGATACATCTTGAATGGATTCTCATAGATGGTTTTGAAAGTGTTCCTAAGAGTCTGTATGTTCATTGACTGTATAGCATTGTTACCAGCTTCAGTTCTTATACACGAGTAAGTTGAATGTCTTGGTTGTACTTTCAGAGTCTCAACTGAATCATGTTCATTCAAACATTTTCTTGTGGAATTCTTGGAACTACAACAGTAATAGTACTTAAAGTAGTCTCTTTTTCCAGTCTCTCCCAGATCAGCTCTTTCTTGTGCTTGGCACATTTTGATTCGCCTGATGTTTCTCAAACTGTAAAATTAGTACTTGTTTGCCTTTCCTAGTCAGGAGGCAAGAGTCTTGTTTATCCTTCCTTTTCCATGCAATAGAATGGGTTCTCTTCAGAGAAGCTCTGCTCTAGAGTTGTACAGCCTCCCTAAGTATCTCACAGAATTGCTTGCCTGTCCAGTGTGGATCTTTGCTCTGCTCTAGTAAGGCAATGACATTTGGTTTTAGAATCTAAGGCCCAGGTCAGCATTTACAGAATGGGCATGATGATCTAGAAGTTGTGACAGAATATCTGTAGTTTCCAAGTCTCCTCAGATCACTTCCCAAGAGAGCAGAAAGAAGAAAGGCCTATAGTTTAACTCTGGAAGGTACTGTTTCCTAGGACAGAACTGTTACTGAGCAGCCTGCTGCCTAGTCAGCCTTAGTGATCTCTTGTGGAGCTGTTCTTTTGCACCTTGATTACCACTTGGCCCATGTGAATGCAGCTGTTAAAATATCTTTCAGGTTCTACTATATTGGGAAGATAAAGAAATGTTTCAGGCGTACAAATTCTTGAGCATGCTTTTGATGTGAGCGTCTGTCTTGTCAGCTTTATACCCTTGGAACCTAATGTTTCCTCAAACCGCCCCATGTTCCCCAGGACTTTGCTTTTAAACATTCTGTTTCCTTCATGCATGGCCAAGACTAGGGGGACTTTAGAGAAGTCCTGTATTCAGATTTCTATATTTTCTTAACCTATCACTTTGTGTGTTCTGCTTTCTGTCTTGAGAGTCTCTAAGAACCATACCAAACTCAAGTCTTTGAGAATAAAGGTTTTCGAACTGAGTTTCCGGGTTACTAGTGTCTGGGCTGTCTAATGACTCCTTTCTATTATGTCTCCTTTAAGGCTAAGTTACTTCTATTCATTTAGTGAAAGATGAAATCATTTCAACTTTAGTAGCACTTTTATTCATTGAGACTTTTAAAATAGTGAGGAAAAAAATCTACCACAAGCAAAGCTTTTAAGAGAAAACAGTTCTGAGGTAGAATGTTCAGAACTAGAGGTCTGAATAAAATATAATAATCCTCAGTTTACTGAAAAGTTAACTTTGTTGTGTGCTTCTTAAAAACAGTTTTCAACATTCACAACAGCCTTGTGAGCTGTGTGAGGTCTCACTCAGATGTGAAGAATATCCAGAGGTCAAAAGTTTACCCAAGTGGTCGTAATTGCTAAGATCTAAACCCCTGTCTCTCTGAAGCTAGTCCTAAATAATTAAGACCTCAAATTTATGAGCCCCAAAGAAAATTCTGTCTAATAGGTAGGATGTAGACCCTGTCTTAGTGTGCTCTTGTATCTCAAACTGGACCCAGGCAGTACGCCCTTAGTCTTTTTTGGGGTCCCAGTCTGATGACTCACTCGGTCCCAGGATGATCACTGACAGGTTCAGTTTCGACAGACAGGCATAATTATGATAGGCATAGTTTGAAGTGCTAGAAACTTGGATGTGTGATTATGTGACAGGGTAAGCATTTGATCTGGGAAGAATGACAGTGATTAATGAATGCTTTTGTAGAGTATTATGTTCAGGTCTGTGTTAGTTAGGGATCTCTAAGGAACCAAACTGATAGAGTGAACTCATGGTGGCTGTAATGAAAGTCTAACATTGAAAGCAGTATTTTAAACATGGTTAATTTGTAGCTCTTAGGACAACTAAGATTTTACTGAAAATTTAACTTTAGGAATATTATAAAGTTAAGGCAGGTCTGTTCAAAAGTGAATGTTACAAAATAAAACCTCTCAAGAGGGTTTTGGGTTTTGTTTTCTTATCCTGCTCAAGTTTCAGTTGTTTAATATATATCTTGTTTGTCTTACTGGTTTTGATTTTAATTATAGGGCTTTCTAAAAGCATTGTGTTTGCTAAATTCAGTTTTACTGGACTGGAAATTATATTTTTGGTTTTAAATGAAAATGAATTTTTTTTTTGTCTTCTTCAGATGTTTTGGCAAGCCAAGAACAACAGATGAATGAGATAGTTACAATTGATCAGCGTGAGTATTCATTCATGGAATTTGCCCACTTATCAGTAGAAATGCTTCTTTATTAGATAACTTCAAGTTAAAGTTTCAGCATAGCTTTCTAACAGATCGTTGGGTTTACAGAGGAATGAAACATCATAACTATCCTATGTAGACCAGGAGTAGAGCCTGTGTTTGCTTACTTTCCCTCTCTAAATTGAGAACTGATTATCCACAACTATTCTTCCAGAGTTTTTTCTTTCTACCAGCTCTACTACCCTAAATACTCCGTAGCCATTATTCTGTGCATGCTTGAAGCGGATCTTTGATAAACTGAGTTATTATTTAACTGTGAGACTTAGCTTTGTTGATACTTGCAACTCTGTTTCATTCATTTTCACTGCTGAATAGCATATCCAAAAATGCCACAAATATTATCAGATTGTTAAGTTTAAGAAAAATCAACAGCTTTTATTTCTACCCTTTCAATTTCAATGAGTGCCAGCTTTTCTCACAGTGCTCTTGGGTTTATAGTCTTATAGATGAATGTGAGTTCTTGGTATTCTACGTTTTCACCATCTTTGAAACCATTTTTATAAACAAATGTGTTGTGACTTTGCTGATGGTTATTTGCCATTTTAAGTTGTTAAATGTTGGAACCAGGAAGACTAGCTGGCCCTAAGCGAAGATTCACAAATTGCAATGGAAACAACATAACTTGATTCTCTACCTAGGTCCGAAGTCTTTTCTTGACATAATTAGAGGGACATTAATTTTATTGATTACATTTATTTTTACTTCCTATAATAGAAGGAAAATACTTTCTTTTTTATCTTTTCTGTCTCAGCTGTGCAAATTATCCCAGCATCAGTGCAATCCGCTACACCAACTACGATCAAAGTTATAAACAGTAGTGCAAAAGCAGCCAAAGTACAGAGGTCCCCAAGGATTTCAGGAGAAGACAGAAGCTCACCTGGAAACAGAACAGGTATTTTTGCATGGATTGGTGTTATGAAACTTGTCAAGTTAGATATGTAAAAGTATAAATACAGACTATCTCTCTGACAGTGTAGTTAATATTTCTAAAATAAGTTTGTTTTTGCCTTGGATGAGATTGAACCAGAGGACTTGTGTACTGCCTTTATCTTGTGTTAGTTTCTAACATGATGACCTGTGCTTGTTCTGCTTATGGATTTAGGAAACAATGGTCAGATCCAACTGTGGCAGTTTTTGTTAGAACTTCTCACTGACAAGGATGCTCGAGACTGTATTTCTTGGGTTGGTGATGAAGGCGAATTTAAGCTGAATCAGCCTGAATTGGTTGCACAAAAATGGGGACAGCGTAAAAACAAGCCTACAATGAACTATGAGAAACTCAGCCGTGCGTTACGGTAAGCGTTTGCACTTTCTATTTGTTTCCCCTAATACCAGACTTCTCTAAAATGTAGCTTCTCGTTCTTGATATATCGCCTGGTAAGTAATGGAAATAAAATACTTTTTCTTAAGATAGTGGGTGTGAGCTGGGCGGTGGTAGGTGCATGCCTTTAATCTCAGCATTTGGGAGCCAAAGGTAGGCAGATCTCTGAGTTCAAGACCAGCCTGATCTACAGAGTCAGTTCCAGGACAGCCAAGGCTACACAGAGAAACACTGTCTTGAAAAACCAAAAAAGGAGAGGAAAAAAAAAAAAAGATAATGGGTGTGTGTTTAGTTGGTTAGTGGTTAAGTTAAGTTCACCACAAGCCTGTCCTGCCAAGTTTCCTCTCTAGATCTTCACGGTAGTAGAGGAGCGCTAGCTTCTAACACATACACATGCACACACACAGAATAAACAGAATGTGATTTAAAAAAAAATTTAAGCTAAAACTGACTTTTAAGAGTTTACTGATAATTTTGAGGTGCATAAAGCTTTTTAAAAGATTTTAAGATTATTTGTTTTATGCAATTTAAAAGCATCCCTGTTCAAAAACAATCTGCTTATTAATCTTTAATATTTTTATAATTTGCATTACAAAGATGCTATTTACATAATAAATTGAATGTATATTGTATCAAATATGTGAATACTGTCTTCTATTTTTACAATTATATTTACAGTTTTATCCTTTACATCTACCTAAATCTGAATATCCAAAAGTAGAACTTGGAATCATTTTCCCTTAATACTATGAATACTCTAGCTGGAAAGACCTCTGCTACCTTGTGTTAGTGAAGCTATGGGAATACTTCCACACTGTGGCCAGAGGTGCGCCCTGCTGAACTGGGTCCAGTGAGGAGTATACTTGTGCCTGCTAAGTTCCTAAGTAACTTTTCTTAGTAGATGACAAAACAGAAATGTCTGAATGTCCACATGCATATAATATCCTAAATCAGACCTCACCCGTGTATCCATCAGCAAAAAAATGAGTAAACTAGTTGTGATACATTCGAGTATTAAAGATGAGCAGCTACGGCCACAAATGGTGATACAGTGATGTTCTCGAAAGGGTCTGTGTGTGTGTGTGTGTGTGTGTGTGTGTGTGTGTATTCATTAGTATAGTTTGATAAGACAGGAAAAGCAAATTACAACACTACGGATGTGCATTTCAGGAAAAAAATACAAAGGAGCAATGAAATTAGTATCTTGAAGCAAGCTTGTATTTACCTTTAGAGTGAGGATTGGTTGGGAAGGAACAGAGGAGGCTCTAGGTATTGACAGTCTATCATTAGACCTGAGTGGTAGATAATGCTGAACCGTTAACTTCTGTGTCGTTTCTGTTTAAGTGATACCAGTTGAGAGTTGATGAGGTTTTAGTGTCTAGTTTCATGAAGGTAAGGGGAGGTAGCTGTGGAAGTGAACAGAGGGAGAGAGCAAAGCAGAGCATGCTGGCACCTTCTGATGCGTGCGCTAGATTGAAGGGAGGAAGGACTAGACACAATTAAGGCTTGCGTGTGTGCTTTTTTCTTTTACCAAGAAACAATGATTACACCAATTCTAATTACATTCTAGAAAGAGGAAACCAGTTTCTTTTTTCCTTTTCCCAAGTGTCTATTCATCATAAACTTGTATTTTTAAACTGCATGACAAGCAGTTTGGTGGTTTGTAAGCTGAGGTTCTTTATGGTGCCCCTTACCTCTTCCTGTACCCTATTTGTTCTGACCCTTATAATTATTCTTTGGGGGCCTGTCCTAGTTAGGGTCTCTTGCTGTGAAGAGACACCATGACCATGGCAGTGTTTAAAAAAAAAATTTATTTTGTTTAATTAACATTTTTCTCGTTTATTTTACATACCTACCACAGTTTCCCCTCCCTCCTCTCCTCCCACTTCCCTACCCACCCCCCTCCCCATCCACTCCTCCATTCAGAAAGGATAGGCCTCCCTGGGCTTGAACAAAGCGCGGTACATCAAGTAGAGGTAGGACCAAGCTCCTCCCCCTGCATCAAGGCTCGGTGAGGTCATCCAGCATGGGAAACAGGTTCCCCAAAGGACCACGGCAATTTTTATAAAGGAAAATATTTAATTGGGGTGGCTAGCTTACAGTTCAGAGGTTCAGTTTATTATCATCATGGTGGCATGCAGGCAGACATGGTGCTGGAGAAGGAGCTGAGATTCCTACATCTTGCAGGCAACAGAAAGTGGTCTCAGACACTGGGTGGTATCTTGAGAATGTATAAGACCTCAAAGCCCACATCAACTGTAATATACTTTATCCAACAAGGCCACACCTCCTAAGTGCCACTCCCTCTGGGGGCCATTTTCTTTTAAACTATCACAGGACCCGTAAAGTTTTGTTTTTACCAAGAAATCTGGGGAGCCTTTATATAGTAAATGGAAAAGATGAAGGTATGTCTGTATTGTATTAGATACATCAATTTTTTGTTCTCTGGATTCTTATTGGCATAGCTTCTATTTTATAGAGAGTTAACTGTGGCAGTCATTGTGTTCTAAGCACTTTATAAAGATTATCCCTTTACTCAACAGTTCTGTGAGGTAAGTACTATTTTAACCTCATTTTATAGATGAGCAATGAACGATTAGAGGAAATAGGATGTTCCTGTGCTCACAGAGGCAGCAAGTCCAAGAGCGAGTGAGGATTTACAGCATGGTCTCTGGTTCAAAGCCCTTTGTTAGGTTCTGTTGCTGTTTCCAAGGCTCTTTGTTTTGTCTTCTCTTTAGTAATTATGTTGGTCTCTAAATCAGTGTGTTACCACAGTTGTTAAAAGTTCATTTTGAAAGTTTCATGTCATTAACTATTGTGGTGAGTACAGAGCTCTGTAGACTTGTATTTGTAGAAAAGTCTAAAACATAGGGAGTACAAACTTCATTTTTTACAAGGTCCTAATATGGTTTCTCTTTTTAAAGGTATTATTATGATGGGGACATGATTTGTAAAGTTCAAGGCAAGAGGTTTGTGTACAAATTTGTTTGTGACTTGAAGACTCTTATTGGATACAGTGCAGCAGAACTGAACCGCTTGGTCACAGAATGTGAACAGAAGAAACTGGCCAAGATGCAGCTCCATGGAATTGCCCAGCCAGTCACAGCCGTAGCCTTGGCTGCTGCCTCTCTACAAACAGAAAAGGACAATTGAGACCTAGGACCTCCTGGGAGTCTAAGGCTTTTCTTAAATATTCAGAGCAAGCTTGGCTCTAACCTTTATTACTGAATTTGAATCTTATTTCTAGACTGTACAATCTGATGCATGATTTTTTTATAAATATTTCATACTCTTGTGAATTTGGATCTTTTTACTTTGAGCATATATTTTAGAAAATGTATGTTAAAGGATCCCCACGATGCCTGAAGTGTGAGAGCAGGTTCATCATGGGGTAGTTTGCTAACAGTCAGGAAAGCTAAACTGGTCAGTATTAATGTCTAGCCCTACCAAAACCAGCCAGTAGCGTCTGCAGATGACAGTAGGGAGTGTCTCCAGGAAACAGCCACCGGTGTAACCATCGCTGGAGTGAAGAAGCTGTTTCCTCTCTGCTGCTTTACATAGAGCCCGAAAAAGGAAGTCCTCAGCTAAAGCATGTGTGCCTGTTTCATCTAATCAAGCAGAGCTAAATGGTCATATCAAATACCATTATATGGATAATTACTAAACTATCAGGTTATTAATTTATATATTTGCAAGTAAAGAATAAGTTAACTGGCAGAAGAGAGTGTGGAATGAGACCCAGGTTTAAAGCTGGCTTAACTCAAGTCATTATTAATGGTTTTCTGTATAGTTTATTCATTATGTCAGGACAAGGACTTAAATTATTTTGAGAGAGGCGTTTAATTCTAATAAACCAGCTATTGCAAAAATTCCAAGATGATATCATTCTTTCTCTCAGATTTAAAAAAAGTATACCTCAGCAAGAAAATAAAAATTTGGTTTAGTTTAACTTCTTTTTTTAAATTAATCTGTAGTACCAGATTATTATGCAACACCATTTATATATTCATTTCTGTGTTTCTGATAAAATGACTTGAGATCAGACGAAAGTACTTAACGTTTGAAGATGTTAGTGAATGACTTGTGAACAGTTATGAAAGGATATTTGCCTTGGCGCTGTAGGTGATCTTTAAATAAACTTCCCCACTTGTTTCATCTTTTTTCCTTTTGAATATTGCATATGTGTCTCTAAAAACATAAATGGCCAACTAATCACTTTCTGCATGTATGAAGACATAAAGATATTCAAAAGGGAGACTATTATTTCTAAAATCTTTAAATAAATCTTATATGAGATGCCTTACTGCTTGCTAACACTAAGAAGAAAAGGCTAGAAAAAAATCTTTTTTGTTTTAAAGTATTTTGCATAAATCATGATGTGAGAGACTAGCAAATAGTTTTCAAAGCAGAAAGGTGTTCCTCAGAACAGTATAAGGCTACTTTATACACCCCTCTCATTTTGTCCTTTGAATTCATGCCAGAAACGGCTGTAGACGAGCCCATTGGGTGTTGACCAGCAGGGAAAGCACATGTGACTGCAGCCATGATGTTGCCAGGACTAAGCAGTGGCTGGGCTTATGAGAAAGGACAGGAAAGAAGGGTTGCTCATCTCCTGCATCATCCTTTCCACTGCTGTGCTGTCAGTCTTCAAGGATGGTTAGTTTGCTTACATTAAGTCCTTTAAGATTCTACAGTAAATACTTAAAAACAATTCAATTGTAGTTTTATTTTATTTTTAGTGAAGAGCTGGCAAGTATCAATATAATTTAATCCCCGTGATTTTAAGAATATCTGAGTATAAAAATGGTCTCGAGGCCCTAACTTCAGATAACAATTTAGTAGCTATAAAGAGGCTCTTCTCATCTTTTCAAAGCCTGGAGAGCCATAATTCACTGTTTCAAAGCAGGATATTTCCATAGTACTTTGAGAGCTTGAGAATCTTACAGTTAAAATGTCTCAGAGACATGGTGTTGAGGACAGGCTTTATGTTTCATTTGTTTGTTTTTAAGGAACATCTGTATTTCTAGGTCCCTAAAATCTTATTAAGCATTTTCAAATGCATTTAAAAAAAAAAAAAACTACATTCTGTAGATGTTCTTTCTTTGGTAGCTTTTGTTTTAGTCGTAATTTGAACAGTTCTCAGACATTAGATGTTCGCTTCTCTCCACCTCTCGCATCCTCCTATGCACCTTCACACAGCAAATGAGAGGGATTTCTCCTTGACGCAAGCTTTATTACTCTGTCTCCACTTAGATATAAAATTGTTGTCTTTATGAGGCCACAGTTTGCCAGTCTTTTATTAAAAACAACTCACGTTCTGAAAGAAAATATTAATTTGTGGTATTCTTTGCTCAGTTTTGTCATACTTTTTTTCATAGAATTTAAAATACGGTCAAACAAAAAACATAGAATTGTTTGACCATCTTTTGTACCTTGTAAGTTCAAGAATAATGAAATGTTCATTTTTGTTTTAAAACGATTTTTCCATGTGATGTTTACATTGAGCTCATTTTATACATGTGCTAGCCTGAAGTCTGAACACTTCTGTTGGCATTAGAAAAGTCCAGCTAGTTAGGCAGAATTGCTGTATGTGGTTGATCTCCATGTGATGAATTAACTGATAACATTCATTTTGGTGTCAATCCATGTAAATAAATTAGGAAAAATTATTTAATTTTTCTCCCCAGATAAATGGTGATTCTTGAATATGGTTATTTCTTTTAAGAAGTGTATCCAAATATTTTTGGCGAGTTCTGTCATTTTCTGCATTTACCGTTTATGCTACTGCCTTTTATAAAGAACTAGTGTGTCCTTGAGATAGCACAAAAATGTTTTAAAATTTATAACTGCAAAACTAACCTGTGACTGACTTAATGTCTTCAGATCTAAGACTATAAAAATGTTGATATTTCAATATTTCACTTATTCCCAGGAAAAAGTATTCTCAGTCTTTTGTAGAAGGGAGAATTTTTGCATACATTTTTACTCTTTAAATAAAGACACTTATACTATCATAATAACAATTATGTATTTCTTTGGTTTTTTTGTAATTTTACATAAAACAGTTATTTTCTATTTTTACTCAGATAAAAATATTTGTGCATAAAATGTAAAAATAGTAAATGAGAAAAATAAAACTATTATACAATAAATTCTTACGTTGAAAGTTTTTGTTTTTTGTTTTCTTCTGAAAAATAAAAAATCAGATTCCTGGGATTTTTAGTTGGTTGAAAATCTTGACAGTCCACTTCTGGTGAACATACATTTGTTCCTCTGTATTTCTTTTCATTGCTTAAAACCTATCAAAGTAGTAATCCCCGGGACACCCCACCACCACCACCACCACATACACACATGAAACAAAACATAATTTGGGGGAGAACAGATTCTGCTGAACTGTAAGTAGTTGGTACAAGGTAGTTGGTAAGAAAAGTAATGTATTCCCACCCAAAGAACTAAGGTTTTAGAATAGTAACAGGTAGACCAGTAAGGCTGAACTCTTGTCAAAAAGACAAGCTAAGGGCTGGAGAGATGGTTCAGTGGTTAAAAGCACTTCTTGCTCTTGCAGAGGACCCAAGTTTGGTTCCCAGCACCTATGGCCTGCTCATGGCAGCCAAGGGATTGATAGAACCTCTTCCTGATCTCCACAGGCACCTATATGCACATAACCACAAACACACACATATGCACATAATTGAATAATAAAAATAAACCTTTTTGAAAATGCTGTTCCTTAAAAATGATGAAAGTTAAATCTGGATACACAGTTTTCCCAATTAGTTATAGCTTACCAGTGTTAGTAAAAGCAAAAAGGCTAGGCATATATTCTTAAATTGGACTCTGTTAGCCTGAATAGACCTTAGATAAAGAGAGACCCCTTGTCAGACTGTTCAGGTATCATCAAATTGGAAATATCTCAGTCTTTGGTGTTTAGCTGTGGTCCTAAGATATATAAGGCAAAACCAAGTTTTAACATTGCAAGCAATTTAGTTTCAAGATCAGTGGGCTTTGTTCTTAGGTTACAAAAGCCGGCTGCCAGCAAGATTCATCCCTGGCAGAATGCAGAGGTGCAGCTTTAATATCTCAGTAAACCAGCGTTGTTTTAAATTTTACCTTTTATAAACCTTGTTTTTAGGTCAGGACAGGAATTATCACATAGAAATCTATCCAATCCAAAATAATTTGGAGAACTGATGAGTGGACACATCTTTATGTGGTCACCCTTACTAAAGATGTGGGGGGTGGGCTGGGAGGAAGGCGGGGAGGGAAGGGCATTTATAAAAATAAAGAATGAAGAAATAACAAAAAAGATGGCAGTGAGGTCATTCATGATTTTCTTTTTTTAACCTTAGTCAAGATGGTGACTGCCCATGTGGTTACCCCCACCAGTGAAGGCGGTGAAGTCAGATATCCTGTCTGTCTTTGACCTTAGCCAGGATGGCATCTGCCCACATGGTCATCCTCACCATGGCATACCACGTGGTGTTTTCCAGAGCTGTTTAATGAAGTTACAAGTTTTTTAGGTCTTAAAACCATACCCAATTTCTTGGCGCTTTTTTTTTTTTTCATTCTAAGGTAGAGCAGCATAAATAACTTGCTCTGTCATCACAAAATCTGAACCTAAGCAGCTAGCGATCATAGCCGAGCTGTTAGCAAGACATTCAAAAACCAGTCAAAAACGAACACGAAAACCCAAGCATCCAAGACCAGTTTAAAAAAAAAAATGTACTGTGGCCACATTATTCATACATACATTCCAACAGAAAGACAAAATTTTTCCCAGGAAATTACCAGCTGATGAACTTAAAAATTCTAAAATAAGAGTTTACAGTATAAAGTAGCATGTAGGAAACTGTAAGAATGAAAGACATTTCCTGGCCAAGGTGGTAGAGGCAGTGGTGCCAGATGTTGCTCACACTGGGTGAGACCGCAGGCCATTGTCAGCCCAGGTGCACACTAGTCTAAAGAAATTTACCTGAAAGAGGTATCAAGGATACTACAAAATTCACATCTACAAAGTTGCATTAAAACTTAAGAACGCAGCCGGGCGGTGGTGGCGCACGCCTTTAATCCCAGCACTCGGGAGACAGAGCCAGGCGGATCTCTGTGAGTTCGAGGCCAGCCTGGACTACCAAGTGAGTTGCAGGAAAAGGCGCAAAGCTACACAGAGAAACCCTGTCTCGAAAAACCAAAAAAAAAAAAAAAAAAACAAAACTTAAGAACGCTACATGAAGAGTATTATTAATGCTCTTTTTGTGTCTTTGGTAAGTATCAAGCCCACAGGGGACCCCAAGGGTGTTAGGTAAGTACTCTGTCATTTAGCAATGCCCCTGCCATGGATATACTAAGTTCTCATCACCAAATGGGAAGTACTAACTTTGCATATCAGATGTATTTCTGAAAAGTTGCACATATTATAAATATAATTGTTAGTAGTATTTTATGTACTGTTGGCTCTAGAGCATACATTCATAATTCTTAAATATCAGTGAAGAAAGTTTATACTTAAAAATTTCAAATTACAGAGAACAAATTAAAAATGTTCAGCCAGTAGAAACTGAAAAACATGAATGGATCCTGACCTTGTGTCATCGGTAATAGGTTTTCTGTAACTTGATAATCGGTTTCTCCACCTATGCAGCAAGCCAGATCAAACCAAATTTAAAAAGTAAAAGAATGGATTTATTTGAGCAAAGCAACTCCCGGGTGAGTTCTTCAGCCCTAGAGATGGAGGCAGGATTAGTCACATGCCCAACCTAAAGTGCTGTGGGATGTTCTGTATGGCAAATGTGTTGCTAATTAGTCAATAAATAAAACACTGATTGGCCGTTGGCTAGGCAGGAAGTGTAGGCGGGACAAGGAGGAGAATAAAGCTGGGAAGTGGAAGGCTGAGTCAGGGAGACACTGCCAGCCGCCATCAGGACAAGGAAGATGTAAAGTACCGGTAAGCCACAAGCCACTTGACAAGGTATAGATTAATAGAAATGGATTAATTTAAGCTGTAAGAACAGTTAGCAAGAAGCCTGCCACGGCCATACAGTTTGTAAGCAATATAAGTCTCTGTGTTTACTTGGTCGGGTCTGAGCTGCTGTGGGACTGGCGGGTGACAGAGATTTGTCCTGAGTGTGGGCCAGGCAGGAAAACATTAGCAACACTAAAGCAATGAGTTTTTATATGATGTAGGTGAGGGGTGATGATGTGTCTGCCATAAGTTGGGTTTGTGCCCAAGTATGGTCAAAAGCTAGAATGCTTGAGGGGAGGGGAGACTTGAGCTGCTGGCAACTTAAGGGGCAGAGCTACCATAGCCACCAAGAATGCCGAACTGAGCTTTTTAGTGCCTTTCTTCATTGGAGATTCTCTGACAGTGTAGGGTTTGGAAAGAGAGGAATGGGGCTTTCTGGATCAAGCAGGAGTGAGTTGGAGGTTCCAGCTGAACAATCCAGCTTAGCATTCAGGGAGGAAGGTTTTAGTCTTGCTAATAAAAGAATTTAGGAACAGACTCAAGCTGGGTGTGGGGGCCCAACACCTTTAATCTCAGCACTCTGGAAGCAGAAGCAGGTGGATCTCTCTGAGTTCAAGACCAGACTGATCTTCACAGCGAGTTCCAGGACAGCCAGAGCTACGTAGTGATACCCTGTCTCAAAGAAGAAAAAAAAAAAATCAAACAAAATCTGACTCAGAAGGAAGCATGAGACAAAGTTTGAGAAAAAGCAATAGGGAGGCAAGCTGTAAATCTTGGCAGCCATCGGGAGGAGAGAAAGTCGTGTCTTTTGAGTTATAGTTTGAGAAACAGGCAGATTCTCAGGAATGGAGGTCAGAAGCAGCCGTAGGGCCATAGTTACATGGCCAGGAAGTGGGGAGGATGTACCTTTAGAGGAGTGAGAAAGTCCAGAACCTCTGGGAAGAAACACTGGTACTTCTGGCCAGTATCTGGAAGAAAGGAAGAAGGAAATGACAAGCTCCACATTTCCGAGTGAGTTAGGAGCAGATGGACTCTGCAGTACTGCCTGTGGAAGCATTGTACGAGGAAGAAGCCTCTGGAAAGGCTAAATAGATTACCTCAGAGGGATGCATTTTCATTAGCATGAATTTTTAAAGATTTATTATTTCATTTGTGTGTGTGTGCATGCACGTGTGTGTGTGTGTGTGTGTGTGTGTGTGTGTGTGTGTGTGAGCAGTCTCTGGAAAGGCTAAATAGATTTCATTTGTGTGTGTGTGCATGCATGTGTGTGTGTATGTGTGCATGCGTGTGTGTGTGTGTGTGTGTGTGTGTGTGTGTGTGTGTGTGTGTGTGAGCAGTCTCTGGAAAGGCTAAATAGATTTCATTTGTGTGTGTGTGCATGCATGTGTGTGTGTATGTGTGCATGTGTGTGTGTATGTGTGCATGCGTGTGTGTGTGTGTGTGTGTGTGTGTGTGTGTGTGTGTGTGTGAGCAGTCTCTGGAAAGGCTAAATAGATTATCTCAGAGGGATAATAATTTTTTTCATTAGCATGAATTTTTAAAGATTTATTATTTCATTTGTGTGTGTAGGTGTGTGTAGGTGTGTGTGTGTGTGTGTGTGTGTGTGTGTGTGTGTGTGTGTGTGTGCCTGTGCACCTGTGCAGGTATCTGGAGGCCAGAAGAGGATGCTAGAGGCTCTGGAGCAGGAATTACAGGCAGCTGTGAGCTGCCAGACACAGGTGCTGAGAACTGAACTCGTCTTCTGAAATAGTAACAAGTGCTCCAGCCCTTCCTCAGCATGCCTTTGTGTGATTCTGGTTTACTGTGGGCTGCACGTAGCCAGATGACTGATGGGCCCAGCTTGATTGGTTCTTAAGGAAGGAGCCAGGAGTATACAATGTTTAAATCCTTGAAGCAGATCAGAAGAACTTCACATCTCCACCCGGGACCAACGGTGTATTTTCTTTTTTTTTTTTTAACTAGAAGAAAATAGCTTTTTAAAAAGTGGTCCTCAGCAAAGTCCTGATGTCCGTGGCTTGTTATGTGGTATTTAAATCCTGAAGTGTGGCAAAGCTGTTTCCTATTGCTAGTGTTACTAGAGAAAAACAAGTGAAGAGATTCAAAGCCAGCCATTCTGGAAGGGCCTGTTCTCAATGGCCTCTGAGGCTACTAATGCCCTTATAGCTCCCTAACATTCACCCCCATAGTTGTGACCCTAAAGTCAT